TTGGGGATACTATGGTACCCGTAATAGAGTAAGATTATATCCTCCTTTTGGGGTGTAGTATCTTATATAAGGAATGTAATCTTACTGGGTTTAACCACCAAAAAAAACGCCACTCAAATGAGCTCTAGTCATTCGTCTAAACTCCTCACAAGCCCCTTCATCTAGGGTTCAGGGCTTAGGGGGTTATACAGGGGATGAGGGGTTATCAAGGGGGACACGAGAAGCCCAGACCACAGCTCAAATTGTAGTTTTCATTTCGTTTTCCATTATAATTCCCCCAACTTCCCACGGAAGACTAGAAAGCCAGGCAGGGTTCCCCGAAACCTAGAGCTCCCAAGGCTAAGCCTCAGTATGTAGGGGTTTAGGATTTAGTAGGCGCGAAAATTTATCTTCAATCTTATGGTCCGAATTCCTCGTGTAACCATGGTCAGGGTATCTCAATTACACCTCAAAATGACATCGGCAATTTATTATTTAGGCCTTTGGTTAGCTAGGAATTAACGGAAAGGATCCTTATAGTAATCCCTATATAGCCCATTTTCGTCGCTTCCATGTTCTTTTCCATTCCTTCATTCACACCCTATATTAACCCCTAGACCCTATATAATCCCTATAATCCTTATAGTTTCCATTGCATTTTCCATGCCCAGGGGCCAGCCTATAATACCTTGCTGTTTGCAGGCAAGGCCTAAACCGATACCGCCATACTTTGGAGGCTCTCTTGGTTTGACAAGTCTATTGGTTTAGGGTTTAGGGACTCAGTAACACAGATAATGGTGCTTGAAATTGGAGGTGTGAATGGGTATAGGAAATAGATTCCAAAGTCAAAAAGCATGCAAGTACCTTAGGGTTCAGGGTCCAAGCACCTGCCTAAACCCTAGACTTTAAACCCCGAAACCACTAAGCCCTAAGCCCTTATTTAATCTGACAACCCTAAACCCCCTAAGCCCTCAATTAAAACTAAACCCCTAAACCCCAAACCCGAAGCCCTTCATTAATCCTCAACCCTTTACCCCTGAACCCCTAGACCCTAAACCTTAAATAGCAGTTTCCATTTCATTTTCCATTATCCCAATATAGTTCCTGTCCGCAGGCAAACGTGCCAGATGGACACCTCCTGGAAGACGAGACAGGCCTGGGCTCTCCCCCGAATAAAATGCGGTTTAGGGTTAGGGCTTAGGGTTTAAGGTTTAGGGTTTAAGGTTTCAAGTTTCAGGGTTTAAGGTTTAGGGTTTAGGGAACAACCCCCCCAGCAAATAATGAATGTCCCCGATATGCACACACGATGGTAGGATATATATAGGCATACATAGGGATATCTAGCGGGCATGGAAAACAAGATGGAAACCAGTCTTAAGTGTTGAGGGCTTAGGGTCATAAAGCCCTCCACCCACCCATGATAAATGTCCAACATAGTACCGTTCCATGAGGAACATTTCTTATTGAGGAGGTTTGGGGGCGGGCGCGCGAGGGGGGGGGCGAATTACAACGTTACAACGACCTCGCAGCCGAGGAACTTATTCTGAATCGAGAGTTCCGAAAAATGCTTGATATTTGGCTCAGGCGGAAAATGTAATTGCCCCCAAGCCAACATGGAAGCCCATACAACCCCTTTTATCTTGGGCTCCGGGGTACCCAAATCCAGTCATGATCCCCATATGCGACTCCAACAATGTGGTCTCTGTAGTCTATGAATCTCGAACTTACTGGTGGTTAGTAGGAAACAGGGGAATATAATCATTAGATCATTCCTAAATGACATATTCCCTTCTTCCAGACTATCTCTCAGTAAGCTAAGGTCCTCAAGGGTACCACCATTCTGACAGACCGGCTGATGCTATCGTTCATTTTGCACCTCTTAAGGACCTTCTCACACAATATGGGAATAGAACCCCCTAAACCCTGAACCCTAATTCATCAAGCAGACTTCTCTTCAACAACTCAAGGCTCCTTGCCCTAAATCCTGAGCCCCAAACCCTCAACCCTCCCCATACACCCTGTCTAACCCTAAAACTCCAACCCTGAATCCATAAGAAACCACAAAAAATACACAACGGTCCCGTAATTCGTCGTGGGTTGTAGCTGCATTTGAGCTATAGTCTCAACTCCTTAAAGGGTGTTGATATAGGGGAGTATTATAGGGGTGATTAAGGCGGATGCTAGGAGTTCAGACAACGGCTCATACATCGCTGGGGTATGCTTGCCCTAAACCTGCTACACACTTGCATACCTGCCCATATGTTTGGGCTATACTTACCTTGAACCTTTCAATAGCCTTCCTTACTAAGCCTTCCCCTAGACCCTGACCCCCTAAACCCTACAAAACCCTTAGATAACCATTCTATCGCCCTCGATCTGTATATATATATATACATATATATATATATCATACATATATATGTCATATAATTCGGCTAGAATTACCTTGAACCTCCAAGAACAACTAGGCCTAAGAGCCGTGCACCACCTCCTGAGCTTCCGAGAGCACGCACTCTGGCTGCGGGTTCAGGGTTTGATGCGTTGAAAGGGGGTCCAAATATAGGGAGAGTCTAAACTCCTTAAAGGGGGTTGCCATGTGCCTGGGGTTCAGGATTTAGGAATTAGGATTTAGGATTTAGGGTCTAAACTCCTGAAAGGGGGATTATAAAGGGAATTATATAGAGGACTGTTATAGGGGTTATTAAGGGGGATACTAGGAGTTTAGACTATGGCTCATATAGTGATATGGAGGAGGAATGGAAAAGAGGCGAGCTACCATATTCTTTAGGTTTTAGGGCTTGAGTTATCCTGGGGTGTAGAAGATCCTCAGCTTTGAGGGCTTTTTGAGTTTGAGGTTGGGCTTGGGGTTTAGGATTTAGGTTTCGGGGGTTTTGATTTGAGGTTTGGTTTTTGTTGGTTTCCGGGGCTTAGAGTATGGACTTCAAGGGGTTCGGGATTCGGTTCTGGAATTTGCGGTCGGCAGGTTTGATGTACATGGATGTGCCTCGGGTACTGTCCCCACTCCTTAAATGTTGGATAATATTTTTAATATAGCTATATAACCCTAAACCCCAAACCTTGGCTTTACCACCAACACCGTGCTCATGGATGGTGATAGATATCTGGAGGGTTTCCCAAGATTAGGGGTACCTTCTGGAGGGCCCCATAATAAGGATGATAGCATTTTGGGTGTCTAACATGAAAAACTACTATTCCTGGAGGTTCCTACAACTCGGGCGGTTCCTTTTTCGGAGTCCCTATAGTCAGGATTATAGTCTATTGGGGTCGATCTTGAGGCCTCCTGGAACCTTTGATATCAGACTATTAAAACGCGTGTAGGGTTGTCCTAGGGGTCTCAGACACAGAATTGAATGATTTGGGGTTTAGGGTTTTAGGGTTTAGGGTTTTATGGTTTCAGGGTTTAGGGTGAGCAGTCCTTCATATGAGGGCCCATCAGCAGAGACCCATACTTGTGACACCGCCCTCATAGGAGGGGTACCGGCAAATTACACCTTAAAACGCTCCAAAGCACACATAACTTCAAAACCCAAACCTTTACACCCTGAACCCCAATCAGCGAACAGAAAATGATCATTAAAAAGAATAAATCTTAACCACCCAAACACCTACAGACCACCAATTAACATGGTGGCGTCCATATTCTTCTCCATCCCCCGCAAACATCTTTACATCATCCCTATCTAAGCTCCACCCACTAGTACCTAGATTAGACTCCCTCTATACCCTATGTAGCCCCCCTAAGCCCTAAATCCTAAACCCTAAACCCAAAATCCTAAACCCAGAACCTTAAAACATAAATCCTAAACCCTCAAACCTAAATCCTGTATCAACCGCTCTTCCAAGGACCTTTGGTTCGTCAACCCGGGGGCCTCCGTCCAGTGTGACGTCTGTTCGCAAGCTTGGCCGCAGGCTGCTTGAGGGGCTTAAGGGGCTCAGGGGGTTTAGGGTTTAGGGTTGAGGGCTATATGAAGATTATGGGGGCGGGTTATGGGGGAGTAAAAGGAGATAACGGAAAACCAGGTGGAACAAAAGAGAAATCAAAAGGAAGCTGGGATTGTATTGCGTTAAGGCGTTTAGGATCTAAAGGGCTTCTGGTGTTTACGGCGGAAGGTTGAGGGTGAAAGATTAGGGTTTAGGTTTTGAGAATGGATCCCTATAGTAGTCGCTATATGGGAATTTCCCAAAAATAGGGGTACCATTTGCGGGTCCCAGTAAAAAGGATTATAGTATGTGTGGGTCTATATTGGGGTCCCTCTATCTTGGGAAACTACCATATAACCCATTATAGTAGTTTCCATGTTCTTTTCCATTCCGTCATTCTCAGCTAACCAAACGCCATTAAAAGGTTTATAGTTCCCCTTAAGTAGATAGAATATGGCTTCGGGTATATTAAAATAAGATCCCCATATACTCCATATTCTATCTACTTAAGGGTGACTTTAGGGTGTGGGGGCAGGCCTTTGTCGGGTTAGCCGAATCACACACCAGACCATGCAGTCAGGCCTGAAGTAGCAAGAGTCGAAGGGATTCGGGTTTAGAAATGAGGGCTTAGGGTTTAGGTTTTTGGGTTTGGGGCTTAGGGTTTAGGGGGCTTAGGGTCTAGGGTTTAGGGCTTAGGGTTTAGGGCTTAGGATTTAGGGTGTTGACAATAGGGTTTAGGTCTTAAGGCACGAGATTCCAGAGCTCGTGCAAGCCTCAGGGTTCATATTGCACCGCATGGTCGTAACACTACTATCTGAAAATGACTGTAGATCTCTCCTTCACACTGGATAGGCTATGTATGAACGTGGTATATTTACAATTCTGCAAAGGCATATGCATGTGAGAGCAAGGACAGTCAATGCAAAGACTTTGCACAGACCACAGGGCTTGCTGAAGCAGAGTCACAAGTGTTCCAAGCGCTTTTCCCGGCGCGCAGGGCTTCACAAAGGCACAGGACTTGTTCAATCCAAGGTAACCCTAAACCCTAAACCCTAAACCATTACCGACCCCTATACAAACCCAGCCTCCATTGCCCTGGGTAGGGCCCTGGGATATTTAGTATTTTCCCTACTGGCTTTAATAAGGGACCCTATATACTAATATTTTTCAAAGGGTTTCAGGGGCCAACCCAGTATCCTAAAGTTTAGGGCTTAGGTCTGTTTAGGCCCCAGCAGGGATCCCTGCAACCTCCCTGCCCATTTGCCCCCACGCTGCATTCTCGTTGGAAGCCCTTTAAAGCAGGAACCGCACCGAAAGTTCTCAAAATGAGACCCATCTCATCCTTAACCTGGGGCCATGTAATCCATGCATATATATACATATACATATACATGTACATATATATATATATAAACCTGCAGGGTTTGGGCTTGAGGGTAACCCTGAACCTTAAATCCCTAGACCCCAAATCTTGACTCCCGAATCCCTCTCTAAACCCTTTGTTGCAAAAATCTCTCCCATGAAGACCCTCCCTAAACCCGAAAACCCTAAACCCTAAACCTTGAAACCCTGGCAGGCATTTGGCCTCCTCTGTGGTGGTGAGGAAGGCATAGGAATTCCCTGAATTGCCGGAAGGGCTTTGGGTTTAGGGCTTAGGGTTTAGGGTTTAGGGCTTTGGGTTTGGGATTTCTGGATTTAGGGCTTTTTCGGGCTAAGGATTTAGGATTGGGCGGCTTAGAATTTAGGGCTCAAGGATTGGAACTTCAGGTTTCGGGTCTAGGATTAGGGCGCAGAGGTAAGAATCTAATTTTGGGCCTTTGGCATTTTTTGGACGATTTGGGTGCAGGGAGGGTTAACAGGGGATTATAATTGAGCTCCCTTATTGTTTGAAAGGGGAACCTGTTCATAGATATTTTGACATCCTTCAAAGTACCACCCAGCTTGAGTATTTGGCTTTTAGGTTTCATTTATGGGCGATTAGCAGGGAAGGAGGTAACGGTTTATAGCAACTACGCTATGGGATGATAAAGGGACTATAGAGATCCATTCCCTCCGTTCCATAGTGACCACCAGCAAGTTTATGGTTTCAGGCATGGTGCCTAGAGGATTTTCCACTTAGGATTCATGGCCCTGAAGCCCTCGACTCTGAAAACCGTCAACACGAAACCCAAGCATCCCTAAACCCTGAACCCCAAATCCAAAACATCCCTTTACCGTAAGCCCTAAGTCCGCAAAATCCCTAAACCCTAAGAAAAGCTCAGCATGGTGTTGGGACGCTGGAGTTTGGGAGTTGAGACTTGGGTTTGGGGACACTGGACCCCGCAGTTGGGACTAACAAGGAAAACAATGGTAGCAGGGCTTTGGGTTTAGGATAGGAATGTTTGAAATGATCCTAGTGATAGTAAAGCCTATATAAGGACCTCATAACTATCATATCATTGTATATATACGAAGAGGCTTTGGATTCTAGCTTGTCTTCCTTAAGCAGAACCCTGAAATCCAAAACCGGAATCCGGGAGTTGGAAAGGAGTGGTGTCCAAGAGTATATTTATGTTGAACATTGTTTTTGGTACCCTTTCAGGTTTTGGCAAGAAAATATTGCCAAAACCTGAAAGGGTACCAAAAACAACTAAAATGAAAACTGCCAAGACCTGAAAGGGTACGATGTGCTAATGTCTGGAAATCTTTTTTTTGAGTCTTTTTGGTACCATTTCAGGCTTTGGCAAAAAACTTTGTTTTTTTTGTACCCTTGTAGGTTTTGGCAAGAAAATATTGCCAAAACCTGAAAGGGTAACACAACAACCAAAATGAAAACTGCCAAAACCTGAAAGGGTACCAAAAAACACATACAAAAAAAATGAGATTTTCCTATCTTCAGGCCTAGGGCCAGCAAATGGCTGGAAAATCTCTATTTTTTTTGTTGGTACCCCTTCAGGTTTTGGCAGTTTTGATTTTGTTTTTTTAGTACCCTTTCAGGTTTTGGCAATATTTCTTGCCAAAACCTGAAAGGGTACCAAAAACAATGTTCAACATAAATATACTCTTGGACACCACTCCTTTCCAACTCCCGGATTCCGGTTTTGGATTTCAGGGTTCTGCTTAAGGAAGACAAGCTAGAATCCAAAGCCTCTTCGAATATGAAAAGAGCCAAAAACGCGTTATTTACAGTGCTTTTAGCTCTTATAGTGGTCACCTCTGATCCTCAGAGATTGATCTGGA